CCTAAGCAAAAAAGGCTACGCACACTGGACGACTTGGACGCAGCAGGCGCTGGCGCAGGCCAGCACGGCGTGTGAGGTGTGCGCCAGCGGTGCGTGCACGCAGAACGGGGGCCGCAGATGAAAAAGTGTTTCTGGCTCAGTTACAGCTGCAAGCCGCAACGGAGCCACTGTCGTCGTTCGACGCGGCACACGTGGTGATTTATGAGTGCTCCGCGGACGACTCTCTGTCTGTCTCTCTCTCCGTTCGTCGGTGATTATTTCGTTGTGTATGTATCCCATGACTCCAAATGACAAACTGTGTGCGCCAGATTCTGAAAAAATTCTGTGCATCTACTGTGCGCCAGATTAAAGCCGTATGTGCATACTATTCTACGGCTCTAGTCGTCCCGAGTCGCTCCCGACTCCCGTGCCCCCAGTGTCGTGCGAGGGAGTTTTGTTGTAAAATTCTAGTGCCAAGGAGAAGGGCACGTTGCGTTTTTGCGTCCCCGGTAAAGGAGCTTAAAGGGCAGAACAAGTGGTGGGCAAGCAAGGTAAAGGCGAGCCTCGCATCTCCACGCCCGAACACGGGCAGGAGGCCCACGGCAACAGGTCCAGTGCAACGTGGGTGAGCAGACCTGCACCCCACTGCCTTCCTCCCAGTCACAACCCGCGCACACATTGTCACAACCACGTCTCGGCACGCGCGAGCATAACCGAAATCGCAGCCAGCGCCGAGTGCCGCGCCGCGCGCGAAAGCAGGCCCCTCTTACTGCGTCTCGCGCGTGATCGCGAAGCCCAAGACGCAGTGGCCAAAGTCGAGCGCCGCGATGCCGTTCGTGGCTCCCGCCGAGTCGAGGTGGTACCGCTCGTGGATCTCGTAGATCGAGCGAACGAGGAGCGCCGCCCGCGCGCGGGCCGCCGCGGGGAAGAGCAAATGGCTTGCCGGCGACCACGGCGCCGCCGCCCGCCGGATCAGCGCCGCCGCCTCGCCCTCGCCGCCCGCGGCGCGCTGCAGCGGCGTCGGCTCGCCCTCGTGCAAGCTTGCGCCGCTGCGCAGCAGGGAGAGAGCGCGGGCGGCGGTGAGGGTCTCAAGGTGCGCGAGCGGCGTCCAGCCGCGGCTGGCGACCAGCCAGGCGGCGAGGTCGGCGTGGCCGCGGCTGTTTGCAGCCTCCTCGGGCGTGCCGAAAGGCGTAGCGGCGCGGGAGGCGCCGTAGGAGGAGAGGAGCTTGGCGACCTCGAGGTGGCCCTTCAGGCACGCCACGAACAGCGGCGTGCAGCCGTCGCTGCGGGCTTGGTTGATGTCAGCGCTGGCCTCGAGAAGCAGCCGGGCGATCTCGAGGTGGCCCTTGTAGCACGCGATGTACAGCGGCGTGGTACCATCGTTCATCGCTTGGCTGATGTCAGCGCTGGCCTCGAGGAGCAGCTTGGCGACCTCGACGTGGCCCTTACGGCACGCCATGAACAACGGCGTGGCGCCGTTCTGCTTGGCTTGGTCGATCGCCGCGCCGGCCTCGAGGAGCAGCCGGACGCACTCGAGGTGGCCCTGGTGGCATGCCATGAGCAGCGGCGTGGCACCGTTCTGCTTGGCTTGGTTGACGGCCGCGCCAGCGTCGCGCAGCAGCTGGGCGATCTCGAGGTGGCCCTCGTAGCACGCGACGTACAACGGCGTGAAGCCTTCAGCGCTTGCATGAGCCACCGCCGCGCCAGCCTCGAGAAGCAGCCTGACGACCTCGAGATGCCCGAAGCGGCAAGCGGCGAGCAGCGGCGTGGAGCCGTCGTTGCGGGCTTGGCTTACCGCTGCGCCAGCCTCGAGAAGCAGCCGAACGCACTCGAGCTGCCCCCTCTCGCACGCGATGAACAGCGGCGTGACGCCGCCGTCAGCAGCTTGGTTGACCGCTGCGCCAGCCTCGAGGAGCAGCCGGGCGCACTCAATCTGCTCCTCCTGGCACGCGATATACAGCGCGGATCCGCCGCCGCCATTCGTTGCCCCGACGCTCGCGCCGCCTTCCAGCAGCAGCCGCACCGCCTCGGCCTGCCCGTGACGAGTGGCCCAGGTGAGCAGCGTGTCCTGCCTCTCGGTGTCGTGCCGCGCGTCGAGCGTGCCGCGCGTCCGCCGCCCGGAGAGGAAGGCGCGCAGCCATGCCAGGTCGCCCCGAGCCAGGTCGGCGAGGCAGGTTGGGCTTCCGGCGCCGCTCATGCGGGCTGTGATTTCAACCGTGGCGAGAGCGGCGGCGGTGGGTGCAGGTGGGAGATGGGAGATGGGAGAGGCGAGCTGGTGCCGCGTTTTTTAAATTCTACTAGAGTGAGGCCCTTGACGGGCCCCGCCCCCAATGGGGCGGGGTTGAATGGGCTAGCGCTGGCGTGGCGTTGACATGAGCACAAAGTTGCTAATGTGCGTAGACGAACAAACACAGAGTAGGGTTGAAATCGTCCACGTAAGGCTTAGGGAGTGCTTGGGGTGGCCTCAGGCATCCCCAAGGGAGTCGCAGCGGTGCCCCATAAGCAGCTTAGCGATTGTCGAACCTCGAAGCGCGTTCGTTTGAAGAAAGGCACCGGTACTATCGGGCCACCGGAGAGTCACCGGTAAACTTCGACACTTTGAGGGGTGAGAGCATGCATTATTGTGAAATATCATGTCACATAAGGTCGAGCTTGACCGCAGAAGCATCAAGAAGCGGATACTCCAGCTCGACTGTGCCGGCAAACTGCCTCCTCACGCCGGCCGGCTGCCAGCAGCCGTCGCGGCCCGTGGTGCACCAGAGAGAGAGGTCGATATGTTGCCCCCGCCGGCGAGTCCGCATGGCTCAGGCCGGCCAGAAGGTGTGTGGCGACGGCACCGTGGCAGGAGTGCGGAGAAGAGCTCGCCGAACGCGAGCAGCGGAAGGCCGAAGTGTGCCACGAGCGCGAGAGCCTCGCGAACGGGTGCAGAAGGAGCTCGCCGTGACACGATGCCGGGCGGTGGTGGTGCTCTGGCGGCTGTGCACAGTGGGAAAGGTCAGGCTGCAACAGCGTAGCACGATGGTAGTGCCCCGCTGCAGCCTGGCCTGACATGCACAGGGCGAACAGAGACCTTGCTATCGCCTGGCGCTCGTCTGGGCAAACTTTGACCGCCGCCCGGCTCGCCACGAGCACGCAGCGACAAAATGATGACCGTGTCGAAGTTGAGGCTGGTCGAGAGGAAGAGGCTGCCGTGCGAGCCGGCAACTGGCTGGCTCGGCGTGAACGGCCGGCGGCGACTTTTTGCCGAAGAGCGTGCCTGCCGAAGAGCGAGTCTGACTCAAAGTGCACGGAGTGGGTGCCGCCGACCGTCGGGAAGAGTCCGATGGGTGCCAGGAGGATCCAGAGAGCGATGAAGGCGCAAATTGCGCCGCCGAAAGCGGCGGTAGAGGCCAGGACGTGCGCGTGGGCCGGTCGGGCCACGTCCCCCACGTCCCGGGGCGAGCGATCGAGGGCCGCGGGGCTCGCCCCGCCGGCCGAGCGGTGCGAACGGCCGGTCGCCCGCTTCGGGTTGGACCCGCCGGGCGGTCCGGCGGCGGATGGCACGGCCGGGCGGGCCCCGGGAGGCAGGCGGGGCCGCGACAGGCGGCAGGGCAGAAAATCCCATTCGGAGAGTGGTTGGACAGACCCCTCTGCTACTTTCAATGATAGGGATTTTGGAGTGAGTCCGGACCAGTGCTACGGCCGGTGACAGCGTGCCTCGTGTCGGCTCCCCATCCATTCTTATCCTGCGTGTATGCGCGTGGGCCCGACCTCCATGCTTGGAGGTGTGTAAGACTGACTGAATGAAAACGGGACGCGCTATTCCCCCTCCCGGGCAATTTTTCCGCGTCGACAGCCTTCGCCAGAGCTCGGCAGGCGATGCTGTCCCTCTCCTGCATCTCCGCCGCCGGCCTGGTGGCCGGCCCAGCGCGGTACGCCACCGCCCCTTCCCGCGCCTTCGTGCGTGCGGCTGTCGCTGTGGAGAACGCGGCACCGGCTGGCTTCTACTGGGGATACGATTCATCCGACCCAGCCGCTGAGCTGGTCGAGCCTGAGCCCACTCCGCTTGACCGGCTCTCCTTTGGCCGGTTCGACGCCTCCAGCGACGCCATCAGCATAGATGAAGTGCACACGGCGCAGGCCAACTGGGCGAGCGCCATCAAAACCATCTCGGCGGTGCACGCCGAGGGTGGCGATTTTGTCGACATGGCGGCCACCGCGGCGGGCGAGCTGTACGGCTATGGCAAGACGAACGTGCTCTTCAAGCCGACCAAGGCGACGGAGCACCCCTTCCGCCCGACGGCGGAGGAGGCGATGTCGTACTTTGTCGGCGCCGAGGCGATGAAGAACGACGCCTTCAAGGGCGAGGACGCCGGCTTTGCGATCAACGGCGGCCGCGGCTGGAAGGACGTCACCTTCCGCAACCACCAGGTGAGCAGACGCCACGCCTGGGATCCGGCCGAGGCCGCGTCGGGAGAGCGCGGCAGCCGGGCTGGTGGCGCCCGGTTCGGGAGCTTTTTTGCCCGTGCCCCTGCTCCGCCTTGCTCCGCCCCTGCTCCACCCTGCTCCGCGCCGGCGCAGCGAGGAAACCCCTTCCCCTGCGCCAGGTCGAGCTCCTGGGCGACTCGGCCATCGCGATGGGCGACTACGTCTTCGTCGACGCCACTTCGGGCGACGAGGTGCGCGTCGAGTACACCTTTGGCTACCGCAAGGTGTGTGGTGCGTGTGCACCGAGCACCCTGTCAGGGCTCTGCACGCCTCTGCAAGTCACCTCGCCGCCTCCGCCCTCCCCGCCACCACCCAGCCCGCCACCACTCAGCCCGCCGCCGCCCAGCCCTTCGCCGCCCTACCCACCGCCACCACTGAGTCCGCCACCGCCGGCACCACCCTCTCTGCCACCGCCGCCCCTGCTTCCGCCGTCCCCACCCGCCATGACCACCCGCCCCGATGGCCGCCAGAATGAGGACGGCAAGTGCCGCATCTTCTTGCACCACTCGTCGGTGCCGTACGCGGCGGGCCCGGCGGCGGGCCCGGCGGCGGTGACGGAGGCGGCTGGCGGCGCAGAAGCTGTGGGCGGACTCGATCGCCTCCATCTCCAAGGTGTACGCCGAGAAGGGCGACTACGTCGCGGCGGCGGGCGAGGCGGCGGGCCAGCTGTACGGCTACGGCCACACCGACGTGCTCTTCAAGCCGACCAAGGCGACGGAGCACCCCTTCCGCCCGACGGCGGAGGAGGCGATGTCGTACTTTGTCGGCGCCGAGGCGATGAAGAATGACGCCTTCAAGGGCGAGGACGCCGGCTTCGCGATCAACGGCGGCCGCGGCTGGAAGGACGTGACGTTCCGCAACCACCAGATCAAGTGCTACGGCGAGGTGGCGCACGCGATGGGCGACTACGTCTTCGTCGACGCCACCTCGGGCGACAAGGTGCGCGTCGAGTACACCTTTGGCTACAAGCGGTGCGGCGACGGCAAGGTGCGCATCTGCCTGCACCACTCGTCGGTGCCGTACGCGGCGGCGCCGGCGGCGCCGGCCGCGGCGCCGGCGGTCGGCAAGGGCGAGGTGAAGCCCGCCGCCAAGGCGAAGAAGGCAAAGGCTGCTAAGGCTTAGGTAGGAGTACGGCGTGCGCCTTGCGGCGTGTGCCGGGTGCGGAGATGCACGTGGCTGTGTGTGGCCACCAATATTCCATGTGCGCGCGGACCTTCCGTCGTCCCCGCGGCGCCCACACTCGGGTGAGCCGTGGGTCCGCCGGTCCGCCCGCGGTCTCGCGGCGGGGTTCCGTGCCCTTGTGCCTTGAGCGCGCTTGCGGACTTTGGTCTTTGCGCGAGGGGATGGCGGGTGTGATATTCGTCTCCAGAGACTCACAAAAGACTATGGCATAGATTCACTATGATTCTATGGAGAAAGAAGCGACCGCCTCCCCGCCTCCGCGGTCTCTCCGAAGGGAAAGCGGCGGGTCGGAAAATATCTAGGAAAATATCAACGCGCGGAATGTACAAAGCATACAAGAAGAGGAGAAAGAAGAGGAGAAACACCAGTGATGACGAAACAGAAGCTAGCGCGGACGAGAGCAGGGCAGACCCGGGGACGGCGGAGCCGGAGCAGACGGCATCGGCCGCCGAGGGAACGTTGGGAAGAGGCACGAGGGAGGGCGGCGACCTCAACCGACTATGGAGGACCCGTCACCAGACGACGCAGGGCAGACGATGTGGAGGCGGAGCAGACGCGCAGGGCGAGACGAGGGAGGGAGCAGGACTTTGCGGAGATCAGCAGGAGGATGTACGACGAGATTAGGAGCAGCAGGGACCCGAGGGACCATGTGGAAGACGGCTAGTGCTACATAAGTCCCCTATCGTGGTGGAGGAGACGACCCCGGCTAGTCGCCGGCCACACCCACAAAGAACCCTGCACAAAGATCGCACGGGCGGGGACCTGTTCCTTTTTACCCATCTCACAGTAGAGGTGTCCGTTTTTATTTATTTTATCTCCGGTCTCCGGTCTCCTCTCCGCACTCCGCCCCACTCCGCACACTAGGACGGCGACCGCTGTCTGTGCCCTTCTCATGAACATGTACTAGACCTTTTGAAGTATAGCAAAGGGGGTAGAACACTCCCAGAACGAAGTGCCTGATCGACTGTCAGGCCAGCGGCGTGACAGGAGGAAGGCACCACGACCCCAGGGTGGGTGGGTGGGATACAAACAAGCCGACGGACAGCGAGAGACTGCAGCGCACGAGCTAGCACAAGCACAGAGGAACGCTCTGCAGCTACCACGAGGATCTCAAGTTTCGTAATCTCTCGAGTCGTTACAGACTCGGGGGGGGATCTGTAACCCGAGTGGTCAGAATTGGTTCCCCACAATATCAGCTCAATATCGAAGGTTCTCCTTCGCTCCCTCTGATCCTCCTCGCTCCCCTCAAAGCTCGAGGAAGGTTCGCGTTCCCTCTTCGAGATCATCTCTTGCTCCCCCCGCGGTGGGGAGCATGATAACGTCGTGGGGGGTCGGACCCCCCCTCATTAGCGTTCGGTGCACAATATTCGCTGTATGTCGGCGACCTAAAGCTCGGCGGCCGTCGCTCGCGCCGGCCGACTCCCTGTCCGGCGGCGGGGGCGGGGCGCTTCCGCGACATCGCCAGGCCGCGCCTCTCTCCACTCTCGGTGCACGTCGCTGTGCGCGGTGGCGGCCCCCGACCCCGCGGGACCGGAATATACCACAAATGGGTGAAAAGGAAATCGTGACAAGACGAGACAGCAGACACGATCGTGCGGCGCAACACCCAACCCGCAAACCGCGAGCGCGCATGGGGCGCGACCCAATCTACCCCACTCGAGCCCGCTACAGACGTAAGGCCACTCTCGGGAGCGTGCCTCCCAGGCTTCGTGTGATGCCGCGCCTCTCCCCCCCCTCTCGGGGAGGGGGCGGAGCGTCGACGCGGAGCTCAGTCGCCGCACACGTGGGACTTGGAGGTCAGGATGAGGCCGACGATGAGGCCATAGAGACCGAGCGCCTAGGGGCGGATGCGCGCGGGCGCGCGTCGTCAGCACGTGCGCACGCGCGGGCCGAGCGGCGCTGCGCGGCGGGAGGCGATGGGGCCGCGGAGTCGGCCACAGCGGGCGGAGCGGGGATGTGCGCGCGCCTCTGCGAAGATGAGAATCAGCACCATGCCGACGTAGAGCTTGGCCTGCTGCGCGTTGGCGCGTACGCCCGCGTCGCCGACGATGCCAATCGCGATGCCCGCGGCGAGGCCGCTGCGAGGGGGGGGGGAGGGGGGGGGGGGGGGAAGCTTCCATCGGGAAAAGTGGAAAGGAGGGATGGAGGGAGGGGGTTGGGGCGGCACACACCTTAGCCCGCACGCAAGGCCCGCCGCGAGGTGCGCGAAGCCGGTGAAGGAGGAGTACTTTGTCGTACCCTCGCTCGTCGGCGGCATGACTGCGGTCGGTCGGAGGAGGGGGTTGGGGAGGGCGGCCAACGGCTGTGGCGGCGCAGTCGGCAGGCGCGGGAGAGGCCGCGCGTGCACCTCCGTTGGCAATGATGACTGCGATGATGAGGCCGTAGATGCCGAGCACGCCCGCCATGACCACGGGGATGATGGACTTCATGATCAGGTCCGGCTTCATCACGCCCATCGACGACACCCCAACGCCAGACTTTGCAGTGCCGTACGCGGCGCCCAGGTCTGCGGCGCGCATGGGAGGGGACCGTCGGCTTGTGTGGCGGGAGGCTCGGTCGGTCGTGCGGCAAGAGGCGAGGGGCAGCGGCGCCGCAGCGCGGCCAGGCCCACGCTCGCGCATCGGTCACGCGCGCGGGGCACAACTTTGCTGAGAATCCAGCGCGGGTGCGCAAAATCCACAGGCCGCTGGAGCATCCCCCCCCGTGCGCTGGTGCGACGCGGGAGCACGCGCGAGGGCGGCCGGCTGGGTGGGAGGCGACGCACTCGCAAAGATGAGCGCCACGGCGGCGCCCATGAAGCCAAAGAAGGGCGCGGTCGCTGGGCAGAGCGCGTCGATGGTGCCGGGCATTTTGCAGCGATGCGGGAGGGTCCTGCGAAGGGAGGTGCCCGCGCGTGAGGCGGGATGTGCCCTTGTGCCCTCGGCGCACGCAGACTGCGGTGTGTGGGTGTACGGCGCCGCGCGTGCGTGCGCAGGGGAGCACACACAGCGCTTACAGAGCAGGCTTGACACAGGTCGAAAGAATTTTACATGGGCTCGAGGGGGGCGGCACATAGGGGGAGGGGGAGACGCCGATCCGGGAATCAAGTTGGTGCCGGCGCGCGGACAGACTCGAGGCATTAGAGCACGGGAGGCGATGGAGGGCCAGCCTAGAGGCCGACGAAACCGCACTAACACAGGTACACCACTGGAGCCGCCTAAGCGACTCCCGCGAGGACGGAAGAAAGGCTGGAGCCTTGAGACCGCCGCGCCTGCGCGCCTTGGGCAGGTGCTTCGTTGGGCCCACCGGGTGCGCTCCTCCCCGCGCCGCCCCCCTGCTCCAGCTGGAGCGCGCGTGGTTGCAAATGGCGTCGCACTTCCTCCCGCCCGCGGGCTCTGTCTCACAATGCTTTGTCCCGCAAGTCCCGCAAGCAGCCGCAGCCGCGAAACGGGAGCATGAAGTATGTGCTGACCGCCGCGCAGGCAGGCCATGTCGGATGGCATATTGAGGCTCCTACTAGGTTTGCGCCCTCCCACTCCCCGCGCCACGCCTGCCTCGATGCCGCCATTCTTGCCCGTCTGCTTCGCGCGGGTGCGCGCGAGGGCCGCCCTGTCGTCAGGGCTGCGGCCGAAGTCAAGGATGAGGGCGGCGGCGTTGCCGGTTGCCTCGTCGGCGAAGGCAGCGGCGCCCTCGGTCTGGGTTGGGGGCATGTGGGGCTCCACCGCCTCAAACTCGGCCCTCGCTCGGCCCTCGCCTCCTCAACCTCAGCGCCACTGTTGCTCTGGGAAAGCTCGCGCGCCAGCGCGCACCACTAGCTTCAAGCGCCAGCGCGGCGCGGTGGTGTGTATATGCTGCCTCATACGTACACGCCCCACCAAGGTATTCCCAAAGGGACGATCGCGGGCCACGTGTTCCCCGGCTCCGTCATCCTCCTACTTGGACTGCATTGGGCCGCGGGCATCGGCCGCTGCATCGCTGTTGGCGCGCCTTATTCGCGCTCATGGCACGCGCTGCCGTGGCAGCGGGGGGTGGGGGCCAGGCCGTGGGAGCCGTGGCTGAAGGTATTCTTCACGTTCTTCATGGGCATCCTCATGGAGCTCTACTACAAGGACCCATGGAAATACGGCCTCGACTGGTGGTGGCGGCCGCTGATATCCGAAGACGGCGCGCACTTCACGTTCGTCGACTCGTGGCACCACGCGTGCATGCACCTCGCGTTCCTCGCGTGCGGGCTGCTAGAGCTGGGCGGCTTCTACCTCGCCGCTAAGGGCTACGCCTCGCCGCTGCAGTGCAGCCTCGAGCTGGCCATGCTCGCGCTCGCTTTCGCATTGGAGACCATAATGGGCGTGCTTCACGCCCTCGGGGGCGAAGGCCTGCCCGCGGAGATTCACAAGATGCAGACGCTCTTCTTCACGGTTGCCGCCGCCGCTGCCATCTCGGAGGCGTCTCACGGCGGCCACGCGCGCATCGCGCCATTCGTACGCGTGACCGCGACGGTCGCAGCAGGCGTGTGGATGTGTTTCAACGCTCTTGTCTACGCCTGGCAGTCGAACGGGAACTCGGCGTGGGCGCGAGACCCAATGGCGGCGCACGTGCTCGTCGTCTACGCCGTGGTCATCGTCTACGTGTCCATCGTCCTCGTCGGCGTCTTCATCGGTGCCTCGAGCGTCATTGCGCGTTATTGCTCAGGCGACCGACTACTCATCCATCCGGGAAAGTCGCCGCTGCGCGCGGTACAGCCCGACCTGGAGGTAGCTTCGATAGACGGCGATATCTACTGACGCCACCGCCCTCGCCCTCGCCGGCGTGAAATGAAAGAGGGAAGAGCGTCGGGGGCCAAGCGAAGCGAGTGGCCAAAAGGAGGGCTTCATGTCATGTTCAACTAGCGAGCAGAGCAGATAGTTTAGGGAATCGCACTTTGGTGGGGGGGGGGGGGGGGGCGAGCGAGCGAGCGAGCGATAGTGAGGGAGTGAGAGAGAAAGAGAGAGAGAGGAGAGAGGAGAGATATAGAGAGTGAGACAAAGAGACAGAGAGACGGAGTAGGTAGAGAGACTCCTCTGCGCCAAGTCGGGAGCAATCGTGATCAGTCCCGCGATGGATATGCCCAACCCACAAAATGAATACGCATCGCCTTATGCTCTGGTTTCGCCCGCACTGACCACTGTGACCGCGCCTCCGCGCGCGTGTCATCCTGATCGGCATATCGGCGCACTTGGCGTTTTATTTATTCATTTCTTGCAATATTCTTATCGGGCGGCACTCCCGAACGCGACGGGTGAAGAACGGATGGTTTTGCCGCATGGCTGCTCGGCGCTCTCCCCATCCACGCGCCCGGAGGATGCTCTGCTGCTTGCCTTGCACACCTCGCGTTGAGACCTCCAGACCTCCGCCGCCGTGGAGCCGACCGTGGTAAGTGGGCGGAAGTCTTGTGAGAGCGTTCCCGGGTGGTGCTTTGGTTTGGGCAGACCTTCTCGGGCCGCTCCGACTCACTCCCCACTTTCTCGCACACAGGCGACACGAGCACGGGCGACTCAGGGCTTTCTCTATTTCCCCTCTCTGGACCCGCCCCACTATGTGTGGTCCGGGCCCTCATCAAGATGATGGCAGACCCAAACAACCGATTGTGGTCGGGGCAGTCGGGGCAGGAACCTGAGAGCCACTGCTCACGCTCCACGCCCCCTCCCTCCGCGCGATGCACTGCGCGAGCACGTACCGCAGGTCTCTGCTGGGCGAACCTAGGCAAAGGACCCGCCCCCCGCGCCGACGGCCTGCGGGCCCAGGTGCGCTTGCCGCCGCGACGGGCTTACCTTTCGTTTTTGAGAGTCAGAGTCGTTCGTTCGTTATGGCTGCTGATGCGTGTGGTGCGGGCACTGTGCGTCGGCCATCTTGTGGAGTCCTGTAAGCAGCACGTCCACTGCATCTCCGGGGTCATCATCGATTGAGTACTGGAACCCATGGGCGACGCGGGTCACGGCATGGCCAAGGGCCGCGACGCGAGCAGAAGGCATGCGGCCGAGCTCGCTCTCGAGAGTCACGTTTCCAGCCAAGAAGGGCTCGCGCTCGATGAGCACATAGCCCCCTCCAGCGGAGCCTGCCGCCGCCCAAAACCAGGGCGCAAGGCCGCTCGAAATCGCGGAGAAAAAGACGGGAATGCAGCCCATTGCCACGTCATCACTGACAGACTTGCGGTCGGGGCTGTCCCCACTGGGCTCCAGGCAAAAAACTGCGCGCTGCTTGTCGAGCAGCGACGCGCCACCTCGCCACGGGCTCACGGTACAGCGCGGGTGAGCCTCGCATTGCTTTACCACGAGAGCCCGAACCGCAACGTCCCCGTGCGCCGCACTGCCAACAAATAGCATGGTTGGGGAGATTACTGGGCGATCCAGACCGTGCTGCTCGCGTTCCCATGGGGGCGAGAAGCCAGCCCGCGTCTGGCCGCTTGACCAGTGCACACTCGGGTATGGCACGGAGATCAAGTTCGGGTATGTCGAGCTGATGTTGCTGCTAACCTTCGAGAGATCTTTCCACAGATGGCTCCGCTTCGCTGTGTGATCATTGAGCGCCTCCGCCCTCACCCGACGTTCGAGCGACGGGGTGATGGAGTGCAGATACCCCACACGCATCATGAGCTCGTATGGAGGCTTCGGGTGCGCGAACCAACCGCCGCACTGCTCAAAGTGGTAGTGGTGCGGCAAGCTGAAGAAGTGCCGGCAAGCACGCCATGGCTCGCGCGCGTGTCGAAGCGCAAGCCGCACCGATTTTGCGCTCAAATTTCCAGATTGGCACAATTCGAAGTAAAGACTTGCTCTCTCTCTTGGCCGTGGAGCGATGGGTGCGAAGAACAGGTCTGCTTCCTCTGGATCAGTTGTGCGGCAGCACGACCGCCGCAAGCGGTACTCGAGGATGCTCGTCAGCGCATACATGTGTTCTCCTTGCTCGTTGGGGTCCCATGGACCGGGCGTGTCTGGCCGCCGATGGAACGGGTTGTGCGCCTCTCCATATCCTGGGTCCGTCAGCGGCGGCTCAAGGTCGTAAACGTAGACGCGAGCCGAGCAGTTGCAGGGCCTGACGGACACCGCCGGCAGCTTCCACTGCGACCGGGCCGCTGTGCTGAGGAGAGTGACGAGGAGATAATTCAGGCTCATGGTCGTTCGAGAGGTCGCGGCCCGGAGGGGGCAACACCGAGGTTCGACGCTGTTCACAGCATTGTTATTGAGAAGATAATACCTCCTATGGCGCTGTGCGCTGGTCTATGAGAGGTTGAGGTGCGAGCCCTGGAGGCCCTGGGAATGGGGGGAGACTACCCGCGGGCCTAGAAGGCCCGCGCGCAGGGGGGTGGGGCATTGAGAGTTGTTGATGTTCTGCGCGTCGCCACAGACGGCGGCGCGCGAGAGCTGTTGCGAGTGGAGAGAGAGAGAGAGATTTTTAGAAGCCAACAAGAAATGTGTCACACACAGTGATTTGGGCTCGGCAGCTTCTCGACTACCAGCCGGAGCCGGAGTCGGAACCGTAGCCGAGATGGTCGTCGGAACCGTCGGAACCGTAGCCGAGATGGTCGTCGAGGGTGTCGAATATGTCATTCGCCTCGCTAGTAGAGCCGGTGCCGCATGAGTCTTGGTCGGAGGAGGAGTCGTCGGAGGAGCGGTGGGACGCCTCGCGCTTGTCGCGCCTGATGCGCTCCGCGAGGGGGCCGGGGTCGTAGTTGTCGTGCTCCCGCGTCGGGTAAGACCAGATACGAAGGGCTCACACGTGATACGATTGAGGTGCGCTTGCCTTTCGTACCAGGAGTCGACGCTCGCCCGCTTCGAGCCTACCTCGATGAACTAGTACGGAGGCAACCCTGGCCGGAACACATAATCGAGTGGCACTGCCAAAGGATCAAGATAGTGACGGTACGGCAGAAAAATATCATTGAACGGCTCTCAAATGTCAGTGACCCCAAAAGACCGCAGCGGTGCGCCTGTCAGGCGATACAGCAGCGACTAACGTCTTTCGGGTTCGAGCCTCTGCCGATGGCGGAAGGGCATATCTTCTGCATTGGACGTGAATACAACGGCCCGCACGCCGAAGTGCTACGTCGGAGCAATAAAAACGTGCCCATCCCAACCGAGAGAGACATGCGTGTTGCATGGGATAAGGCACTCGGAAGCCTTCCCGCGAGCGTACGAGAAGCGGGGAGAGATCGCGACTGGAAGAAGGTACTCGCGGAGACACTTGCGGAGACGGACGAGACGTGTATACCATGCGAAGACGCGGTTACTTCGAACCAGGTTTCGCAGGTGAAGAGCGTCCTGCGAGGTAGCGTGATAGGATGGCTGGACAAGAATGTCGGAGAGTGTTTTGTTACGTGCCCCGTCACGTACGAGAAGACGCTAGACGCGCTCTTCGACACTTCAAACGGCAACTATACGCGTGTGTATCCGCTAAAGGACACGGCATATAAGAGGAAGAAGCATGGAGCTGAGGATCTGCTCAAGAATATGACGACGGAGGATCGGTCGCGAGTACGGGCGAACCAGCTGAGTACTGACGGTACGCTCGACGCGACGCTGATCTCTGCATGGCGATGGTTCTACAGAAAGAAGGGATGGCACAAGATCACTAAATTCGATAGCAAAGGAAGGATAACTGCGCCGTACGCGCTGTATAAGGCAAAAAATGTGACTGACCCTCTTGTGCGAGAACGGAAGCTGCACAAGGCGAGGCCGATCACGCCGTACGCGAAGCATCCGATGGCGAAACTTTTGAGCCTCGTGGGCCGGGCGTGGAGTTTCGCACTCCGGCACCTGAAGGGTGAGCACTTCATTCAGCACGACTGCCAAAGTGTACCCCGGATGCTGAAGGAGGCGGCTGAAGCGCTCCGAGGGAAGGGAGAGCTCAGCTACGAGATTAACGACGTCGACAGCTGTTACCCGAGCATGCCAAAGGAAGCGATGCAGGTGGCGATGAGGGATATTCTACGCAATGTACGCCAGAACCTGCCACCGGGCGCGGGAGAGGACCCGAAAATACTTGTACCGAAAAGAGGCAAGAAGAAGTGCTCGTGGGCACAAGAAGGGGAAGTGTGGGGACACGCGTCGATTAACTTCTCGACGATGCTCGAGGTAATCGATTTCGATCTGGATAACTGCTATGTCATTACGTATGACGGACGCTTGCTGAAACAAACCCGCGGAATTCCAATGGGGAGTGCGCTATCGCCACCACTGGCGATAGGAACTCTTGCGTGGATGGAGCACGAGTGGATGCAAACGTTCGAAGATGATGCGAAAGCGCGTTTCCGTATGAAGCGCTACATGGACGATGTGATCACGGTGACTGCCAAAGACGATAGCGCATGGGATGTCGATCGTTTCCGGGAGGATTTCCGTCGTTCTGAGTGCTACTGGGCGCCTTTGAAGCTGGAGGCAGCCGATAACGCTCATTTTTTAGAGACGGCTCTCGAGCTCGACGCGAACGGAGGTTTCCGGACGAGACTCAAGAACGTCAATGAGGGCTGCGAGAGAGAGCCTCGGGTGTGGCGCTACCATCGCTGGGATAGCTTCACATGCGCGAAGATGAAAGAGGGAATAGTCGTTGGATGCCTGATCAAGGTGAGTGCTATGGCGAGCGATGACGAGGGGTTCGCGCTCAGCGTGACGAGCAAACTCAGGGAGTTCATGGCGCTCGGATACCCTGCACACGTGCTCAATGGGGTGATCGGGCGCGCGTTTGCTCGGACAAAGGACGAACGGCTCCTACGAGCAAGACAGTGTTCGCAGTGGTGAGGAGGTTTCTTGCA